TGTATGTGCATAGGTACTATGTACAGTGGCGGTCAAAAGTGGATGAATGGTGTTTTATATAATATAATATTTACAATGTTTTTCAAGCAAAAATTTTTTTAATATTTTTTTTTATATAAATATGGTTCGTGGTTTAACAAAAGTCCTATAAATCACACTTTTAAACTTTATACCGAACTCAGAAAAAATCCACAAATTTGTATCTAAATTTCGAGCCTTTTAACCAGAATTTTTTACAATTTTTTTTTTTTAATTTTTTGGGTATGCAGTTAAAAGGGTTATAAAATTTTAGTAAAATTAGTGTAAGCTTCGAGCGGCTAAAAATCGCATTGATTTTTAATATTTTTTTTTTTCTGAAGGCGTTTTGAACTTTTTTCCTTATAAACATGATTTTTTTGTGGAAGAATATGCGCAAGAGCTTTTGCGAAAAAAATAAAAAAAGTCAACACCAGTTTTCCTAAATTTCGCTTTTTATATGAAAAACCCCGAAAATGTGTTTTTTTTTTAGCCGGTCAAAACTTCCACTAATTTTACTAAAATTGTATAATCCTATTAACTACATACACAAAAAATTAAAAAAAAAATTAGTTAAAGAGCTCGAAATTTAGATAAAAATTTATGAAATTTTTCTAAATTCTGTATAAACTTTTAAAGTGTGATTTATATTGTAAAGCATGAACCATATTTAAATAAAAAAGATATTTAAACAAATTTAGCTTGAAAAACATTGTAAATATTAAAAACGAGACACCATTCATCCATTTTTGACCACCAGTGTTGTTGCGAAATGCATACAAGTTTTAACGGTATTGTTAACGGGCGATTACAAAAGCTTATAGAGTACTTAAGTTGTTGCAATTTCTTACCAATTCAGGTTTACTCCGAACAATTGCACTTTGCTTGTTTAAGTTGCTCTTAGAACATTTTATTCAAAGTGATATTTTATTGTTATGTAAAATTTTGGTTTTCAATTTTGTGTTTCCCCCTATTTTTGTTTGTGCATATTTTAGCTGCAGCTTAAACAAAGCGTAAATGTAATTTATTGCTTATGCATTGCCAAACAATAGGTGTGGTCTCAGACTACATATGTAGCTCCAAATGAATGACCGAGAAACCAAACGGACAGACAGACAGCTGTTGGCAAATCACTCGTGACTGACTGTTTCTAGATTGATGTAAATCTTACAGTAATTAAACGATCAACGATGCAACAAGAATTTTAAAATAGATAGATACTTACTTACATAGATATGTACAGTGACAAACAAAAGTATTGGCACATTGAATTTTTCGCAATATATGCCAAGTTTTTTATTCTAATTTATTTTCGATAATTTTTTATAAAAATATAGTTCATTTTACACCAAAAAACATAAAAATAAAATATCTAAACTTTGTGCAAAACTCAAGAAAATTCATTAAACTTGCACTCTAATTTGTAGCTTTTTATTCAGATTTTTTAGAAAAATTCTTCGTATGCTGTTTTATAGCCCATTCAGTATAACAAAATGCAATTTTAAAGTTGCTAGAGAATCGCGTTGATTTTTGGCATTTTTTTAGTGGAAGGTGTTGCTCATTTTCTCCATACAAAAAATAATTGTCGANCGACAGGTTTGGAATTTTATCTTTGAAACGCCACACTTTTCTTTGAAATCGCTTTATTAGTTCTCGTGCAATAAGCGTTTTTGTGAAGCTCTAAAAATTACAACTACAACATTTGAACATAGCCCCCATACCTTAAGGTAAGACGTATTCTACGTCAAAAACTTTGCATATATTGCGAAAAATTCACTGTGCCAATACTTCTGTTCGGCACTGTAGATAAAAACTCAATTTAGTATTATGTGTATCTACATACAAAGCATTGTATAAATTTGTTAGTTTGCTGTCTGATAATGTTTGAATGGTCCACAGATGGTTGTTATTATTATTAGGTAATACAGTTTCTTTTTTTTTATGAAAGTTATCTAAGTGAAAATAGGAAAGCTTTTACCCAAGTAACGTTAGTTATAGTTTAATTTAATTAGAAGTCACGTAAAACTAGCACAAGGTCCCAGTACGTTTCAGTGATACGCCCGTTGACTATTTATTTACAATTTGGTTCATAACATATTTTTCCATGGCCAATGAGTATCAATAAATAGTTAAAAATGTTAAATAAAACCACTGAGACAAGTGTAATTATTGAAATTTCACTTTCATTTCAGTGATTTACTGCACCCACGAACATACCCACATACTTAGATACATTAAATTGACATCAATTATATGATTTTTTGAACTTTTTACGCGATTTCTAAAAAGTCGTTGTAAAAAATTTCATTTGTAATGGATTAATTTGCTGCATAAAAAAATGTGACAAGAAGCATAACCTTTTAAATTGCTCCAAATTACTGTCTGTTACCATAAATATGTACTGTAAGTATGCTGGAAAACAACGTTCATGCCAAATTACTCCCACGCTCTATTTACGTTGACGCCGGCAAGCGACTAATTCCCCTCGAATATGGAGTGTATAAGTATGTATGAATATTAGGTTGACGCACCGAGTAAAATTTTGAGGTGGCTCGCAGCGACTAATATCTTTAAATATTGCGAAGTTTTTATGTTTTCCCTTTGGTGGCCCCATGTGGCCCCATTGAACTTATTGTGGCCGTAATCTGTAGTATAAGTTAAGTTTGGTTAGCTTAGCTGGTACGTGAAATCTCACAGATGTATGTATATNCATAACCTTTTAAATTGCTCCAAATTACTGTCTGTTACCATAAATATGTATTGTAAGTATGCTGGAAAACAACGTTCATGCCAAATTACTCCCACGCTCTATTTACGTTGACGCCGGCAAGCGACTAATTCCCTTCGAATATGGAGTGTATAAGTATGTATGAATATTAGGTTGGCGCACCGAGTAAAATTTTGAGGTGGCTCGCAGCGACTAATATCTTTAAATATTGCGAAGTTTTTATGTTTTCCCTTTGGTGGCCTCATTGAACTTATTGTGGCCGTAATCTGTAGTATAAGTTAAGTTTGGTTAGCTTAGCTGGTACGTGAAATCTCACAGATGTATGTATACCAAGCGAGTGTTTTTAGTTAGGCTTAACTTATCCTTTGACCTACAATTTTCTTCAGTGATAGCTGAATCGCGATCTTCCTAAAGCTGGAGATTAGCATAAGGGATTGCCGCACACATGTAGTTCTGTAAACCCCGTGTAGATAGCTCCACTGCATTACCGTCAATTTGCTGCCCTTAGGTGAGTAGGTAAAGTAGGAGTGGCTGGCGTCAGCGCGGCATTCTTAGGCCATAGACAAAAGACCTATTGTGTTACCTCAGTCTGACACTATTCCATTATCCCAAAACATTTGGGCGGAAGCGTGTTGGCGGTTAAGTTCCACAGAACACATCCCTGGGCGCACGCCTCGTCACAATCCTCGACCTTTCGCATGCTCCCAGCCTCGCCTTCACTACTCTACCGCAGAGTAGCTGACCGATAAAGTTCACCAGTTATGTAATTTAACTGCCCATAATAACTCCTAGCTATTTGGTAGAAGATTTAGGTGTAAGAGTACTATTTTCTAATGTGTGTGGAGACCAGCAACTATCAAATCCGCCTTCGCTGCAATTACTTCTTCAGTTTTCACCGATGCCTTTTACGAGGTCTAACTTAAAAGATAGGAAATNTATTTTCTAATGTGTGTGGAGACCAGCAACTATCAAATCCGCCTTCGCTGGAATTACTTCTTCAGTTTTCACCGATGCCTTTTACGAGGTCTAACTTAAAAGATAGGAAATGAATAATTAGAGAGTTGCCAACTGTTTGAAAATTGCAGTTTATGGTGATTTGGTTTCTTACAAAAAATGTTGCCGTTTCCCGGTAAAAGGGCATGGTTTTGCCTTCTTGTCCTTGCCTAGATCACGCATTTCATAATGTGGTCGTTTTAAACACCCATCTGATTTTTAGAGGAAACATTTCCCCTGACAAAGTTTCACAGGCAGAGAATGTGCCTTTTTTGCCTTAAATTTTATGAAACGATCACAAAATTTTCTCACACTTTGCGTTTCATATAAAATCGAAAACGAAAGGTGAGAGGGGCATTCGAAAATATTTTTGTGAAAGGTTGCCACCTGTTTGAAAATTGGAATATGATTTAATTGATAAGATAAGTAAAAGGTTGCCACCTGTTTTAAAATGTTTATCCAATAGGTGAAAATATTACAATACGGGTATCAAACTAAAGAGATTTTAAAATTTTTGTTGTCGAAAATACTTTTCTAGCGGGTTGCCACCTGTTTAAAAATTGTTAATTCAATTAAAGTGATAAGATAAAGAAAATACAATCGTCATCGTGTACAATCGAGTTATAAGAGTATAAATTAAATTTCCATGTTTAAATACCTTCGAAAATCTTTGACCTAACAGCCTTATGTATAAAGGTAAAGTATGTTTCGTAATTTTTTTTTTTGAAAATCTCACTTCATAAAGTTCTTCAAATCTATTTAATTTTCTTTTTATGAAGCCATAAACTTTTTGGAAAAGAGTAACAACACAAAAATACTTTTAAGGCGCAGTGAAGCACGGCGGGTATTTGCTAGTCTTGAATATTGATTGCTTACAAGCTCCCACGTCCACGTAGATAGAGCATAATATCGAAAACACTATCGAATACTAAATCAAACAACGTTTTTATACATACGACTATTCAGGTGACAAAAATTCCACCAAAAGATAGAGCATCCCCGATTTAATAGGTAAAATTTTTACGGTTTTCAATAAAAAACATTTCCCTTAATTTTAGAGGAGGTGGACGGGTGGTCTAGGACACCCTGTATTGTTACTGATAATCCTATCAAAAAGTTGTAACGACAAAGACAATGATGAAAATCTAATAAATCCAGATACATTTTTTCTAATAGATACATAGTAAAGTATGTATGTAGTCAATCCTTGTATTACATACGAGCCTACTTAGTTGTCTAAATATTTGTATGTGTGTGTTATTATTTACAAGCCAGCATGTTCGTTAATCCAATTCACATGATAATAGACCTTAGCATAACCATCTGGATTGCCAGTACCACAACCGCCATAAACGAATCCAGCAATGCCCACCACTTCGCTCTCGTACAAAGCAGGTCCACCAGAATCACCATTGCATGCACCGTTATTAGGATTGTGCGCCAGACAAATAAGAGCATCACTATCCCAATAGATGGCTGCTTTGCATTCGTCACGCGAAATTGCCGACAATGTGTTCCACTGCAACTTTTGTGGCAAATCACCACCAGCCTTTAGGCGACCCCAGCCGGAAATTATGACTGGTGTGCCGGAGGGTAATTCTTTTGTAGCCAACTTAATAGGTTGAATGTTCTTCGATAGGATTAATGGCTCGCTTAAATGCAACAGCGCCACATCATTCAAGAAATTTCCATAATTCTCGTGGGTGATGATCTCTTTGACATTGACTACAACGCCGCCACGAAAACGATCGGTGGAACCGGCACGTACAGTGAAGGTGGTTGCATTGTAGCTGTTGTTAATGATAAGATATTCACATATATAGTATGTATTTGTAAGGATTTGTGATCATATATTTTATGGCAACTTCGTAAAAAAGTACTTACGTATAATAGGTACCCGCGGCGTCTGTGGTGCCCACACAATGCGCTGCGGTCAATATGAAATTTTTACTAATTATCGAACCACCACAAGTATGTGAACCATTGCGACGTAACGAAATTTGATGTGGAAACTGACCCTCGTAAGCATCCACACCACCCACAACACGCGCCGTGGGACTAGCTTGACCGATCACAGCGCAAATCAGGCAGATCAAAGAGAAAAATGCGAATTTGGCCATTGCGATGCCGTTGCACGTCTACGTCTGATATGGAACTAAACTTTGACGCACTTTCTTACCTATTGAAATTAACTAATTAAATGTAAACTTATGCTTATCATGCCAAAGTGTGCAAAGCTATAAAATATGTGCTGAAATTAGTTCGTTTATGACGATTATTTAATACCAACCTGCTTGATAATTCGATTTTGTCCTCAATTATTTATTACAATTCGATACAGTGTGATAATAAGTATGCGTTTGGAACATTTACTTACATACATATGTATATACGAGTACATAGCTATGCATGTAAGTGTGCACGTAAATATTCNATGCCAAAGTGTGCAAAGCTATAAAATATGTGCTGAAATTAGTTCGTTTATGACGATTATTTAATACCAACCTGCTTGATAATTCGATTTTGTCCTCAATTATTTATTACAATTCGATACAGTGTGATAATAAGTATGCGTTTGGAACATTTACTAACATACATATGTATATACGAGTACATAGCTATGCATGTAAGTGTGCACGTAAATATTCTTATACTCGTATGATAACCACGAGCATCTAATTGCTAAAAATGATTTGAAATGTTATAATATCTTAAGAAAAGTTTATTAACGCAATACGTCTTACGTTTCGATATTAATGCCTTGTAATTTTTAGAGTTTTACAAAAACGCTTATTGCACGAGAAGTACTGAAGCGATTTCAAAGAAAAATACAAAAAATTTTACCAATAAACAAAACAGTCTGAATTATGATAATTTTTATTATATTTCCCGTTTNTGAAGCGATTTCAAAGAAAAATACAAAAAATTTTACCAATAAACAAAACATCCTGAATTTACCGACATGATAATTTTTATTATATTTCCCGTTCGTGGCGTACCGCCGCCGAAAAGGTAGTCGGTTTCAGCGAGCCCGAAAGAACGACTGGTACGTTAAAGCGGACTGCAGAGTGAAGCGGGACGTATTTGCCACAGTAAGAAGAGAGAGACCGAAATACGTGAATGAGAAGAGCTTAAAATGCTGCCCGAAAATTTTAATACTTACGGAAGGTTTCAAGACCAGGGAGAACTTCTGTAATAACAACCATGGAGACCTGGAGACCGATGTGCGGAACGTACTTAAATTATGGAGCGAACACTTCTTCACCCTATTGAATGGCAACAGCACTGCAAGTAGTGGAGAAGACGAGCCCGATCCCCCAGTTGATGATGCCGGAGTCGATGTCCCACCGCCTGACTATGGTGTGACTGAAAAACGACAATGCTGCTGGAGCTGACGTCCTGCAAGCTGAGCTATTCAAGTATGGCGGCGAGAAGCTGATAAGGTGCATGCATGAACGCATGCCCGACGACTGGTTTTACGTGTGCCAACTACCGCTGGATCAGCTTTCTAAGTATAGGTTACAAGGTCTTATTAAGCATATTGTGTGAAAGACTGAATCCCAGGGCCAACGAACTGATTGGGCATTAGCGACGTTCACCACCTTTTTGTCGAAACAAGCCGCTTTCGACAGTACTAAGAGGAGTGGCCTATACGCCGTAATGTCTGAATTTTGAATCATCGCGGAAGGGATACGGCTGTTTAAAATGACGTTGAGCAGTACCACCAGCTCAGTCAGAATTGGAAAGGGCTTTCCGAGCCTATTAATACCAAACGAATACCTGTGATTTCTATAATCTGATGTTGGAGAAAATAAAAAGAACCGCGGTACTTAAACACTCGGGAGAAATTAATTACAAGAGCGTGCATTTTCTGGCTTAGCTAATGGGTCTCGTGGTGAACGAGGACAAGACGAAGTTTGTCCTTTGAATAAACAAACAGTCAGCGCATCCGCGCTTTGGCGCTCACGTCTCAGTTTACAGTTATAATTTTGAGAAAGTAGATAATTTAGTTTACTTGGGAACCAGCATTAACATCGATAAGAGTGTTTTCCACTAAATCTAATGCGGAATCACTTTGCCAACAAGCGTTAAATACTTTGGACAGAGTATGCAAACGAGTAGTAAAATTCTTTCTCAGAAGCATGGACAATGACAACTTCCGGTGAGGTGACTTGAAGTATTAAAAGTGTATTAAGTGTACTAAAACACCCCTCGTGGGTCCGCCACTGACTGACACATAGTTTAACACCCAAACCCTGCCCCCCGCTGGATCCGCCAATGAAATTTAAGGATGGAGAAGACCCCAGAAAATGCAAAGCATGACCAATAAAAAGTCTTTAGTATTAAAAAGGTATACACTTCAGCAAAAACAAAAACTCCCTTTCAAATGATGATGAATAATTTTGCTTTAGTATTAAATTAGCTTTAACGCTAACTACATAAATACGTGCGTATATAAAAGCCTCGAGCAGAAGATAACAGCAGACACAGAGAGCAGATATAAAAGTAAATATTTTCTCGTTCATATATTGCACTTTTAAACAAAACACTTTTAATACATAAAGGTACCTTAAAGACTTTTTATTCGCTTAATTAATCAGCAACATGAATTCCAAAAGAAACTTAACTTACTGCACTTACAAATGAATTAACAACTCACAATTTTGAGTGCTCCTTAATCCAGTCCACATGTTCGTAAACCTTCGCATAACCATCTGGGCTGGTGGTGCCGCAACCACCAACCACAAAACTAGCAACTCCTACAAGTTCGCCTTGATATGCAGCCGGACCACCGGAGTCACCAAAGCAAGCACCATTATTTTCCGGATGTCCCAAGCACAGCAGCGCATCACTGTACATACCAATTCTGGTAAAACAAGATAATTTAGAAATAGCCTGCACATAGTTATATTGCAATTTAGTTGGCGCATCGCCAGTGGTGGTTAGACGACCCCAGCCTGAGATGAGTACTTGTTCGCCGGTCGGCACTTCACCGCTGGCCAAAGGAATTGGTTTTATGTTATTTGAATAAATTAGGGCAGATTCTAAGCGGAGCACTGCTAAATCGTGCAAAAAGTTTGCATAATTCTCATTCACTACAATGTTTGTGACCTTGACGACCACACCGCCACGTAGGCGATCACTTGAACCCGCACGAATCGAGAAATAGCTAGCAGGATCGCTGGAAAGATATACCCACATGACATTAACAATATCGGGCCTCGAAGGCATGTATGAGTTAACCGAAAGACTTACACAACGTAGTTGCCATCGGCATCCTCATCGCCTACACAATGCGCGGCTGAGAGCACATAGCGCTGATTGATAATCGCTGCACCACAAATGTGCGATCCGCTATAACGAAGTGACACTTGATAGGGTAATGCGCCTTCAACAGCATTCTCACCGCCAACAATGCGTCCGGTGGTGTAGGGATGTGCGCTCACCAAAGCGATTAGCCCAAGACAGATCGCAAGTTGAATGAATAGTTTCGACATACTTAGTACTTGTACGTGGATGGACGCAAACTGAGGGTCGCAAAGAATCATGGCTTCATTTTTATGTTAATTTTAGTTCACATATAGTATTCTGAGCATATTCCAGACATTAATTTTTAATCCATATCTAATCGGATTTCTGTTCCTTTTGTATTGTAATAAAACGTATTTAGTGTCTAAAATCTTTGATCATAAATCAGTATTTTGCTCGATACGGATTTTTGAGTTAGTTATTGATAAAATTGATTTAGTGGCACTGCGCTACAATAGTATGGCGTTTCTCGGGAATTTTTGCAGAAACTTAATACACTAACTCTGGAGAATCCACCTTTTCTTATCTTATTGAAGTATGTATTTGTTTACCGAAATCAGTGAAATTCCTGTAACCATAATAATGGGGTTTATTATGCCACGTGAAGACCTCAGTTTAAACACATAACCATCGTTGAAGTACTTAATCGCCGACGTGCCTTGATTTCGATGGATTGAGTCCCATTAGGAGAACCTACCCGAATTTAAGAAAATCTAGAGAATTCAGAACTATGACTATTTTGCGATCCTTATTTCGTGCATCGCAATAATAAAATTTCAAACAACGCCACTCTGTAAATTGCAAAACAAATCTGCCCAAATCAAACTCAGAGGACGACGTCAGCAAGAATCGATTCCGAACTCTTTCAATGCGAACAGAAAGTCTACTGTGCCCTGAATTCTTCACAACACATCATCCAGCCCTAGAGACTCTATCGAATTCCGAATAGAACCCGGAGCAGGGAGTGAATGTGCTCCTCTTCCTTCTACGTGAAACAGAATCAGGTGTAATGGAGTCTCTTTGGTAGCGTCAAAGCGACATAGGTCACCGGACCACATTCCTTAACTGTATGATTGACCTCTTAACCTACAATGGCCTGTCAAAAAACCTGCAGTGATTCTTAGTTTCTCTTCAGGGAAGCCGAAGGCCCATCAGTATCTTTTCAGATTCCTTCCTAGTAAGCGTTTGGTTCGAAGACGTCCCATGGTTCCCTTAGTTTGGTGTTTTTCATCTTTAGCGCTTTCTTTATCGTGTTGCGACCTATTTAAAGAAAGGTCTCGCCCTATCGGGGTCCAGGAATCGGCCAGTCTGGCTAACTAATCCATTTCCTCATTGCCTTCGACTCCCATTTGCCCTGGTATTCATAGCAATTGGAGGGTATTATTCTCAACTAGAGCATAAAGCCTCTCTACACACTCCAAGACCACTAAGGATTTAATCTCGAAGGATGAAAGAGCATTTAGTGTCGCCACACAGTGGGACGTCCCCATATAAGCTGCGGCCAAAAGTAGTAACCGTACTAGAAATTCAGAGCATATGCTGGTTTTAACGAGAAAAGCATAAATCTGAAAGATCGCCAAAATCGGTTTACATTATCGTTCAGTAATTCTAGAAAAACAGGCGCAAGTTAAAAAAAATCTTTTTTGATGAAATTCGGTGTGCCCTGCTCGTTTAAGTTCTCTTGAAGAGAACCAGAGTTTTCCGATCAAAAAATATTGATCTTCAAGAATTCTATACCATTTCTATGAAAAGTTGTTTTCCCCCATATAAAATACATAGAAAACTTTGAGCGCTTTAAGCACTCCCTTAAAATATTCTTTGATTTAACATAAAAAATAAGGTATATTTTTCCGGTATAGAACAATCCTAGGGGGTGGCGGCATTAAAATTCCGACTTTACTTATTTTTTTTTCGACCACCCTAATGTACATACATATGTATTTTGCAACGAATTTCCGTCATCCCTTGTCACATTTTGTTTGGAAACCAACCGGTTTCGGTACAGAATACACCTAGTCCGAAGCACCAACAACCACAAAAATAATGTTACGAGATATTTTAATAGGTTTTTGCTCAAAAAACGACAAGGTTCACTTTCACCATGAAAAATATAAATCATACACACATTTAGGCTTTTTTTAATTTATTTTCTACAAAACTTCACACCGATATACTTACATTTAAGCACTTCAAATCATGTTCTGATTAATCCATTCGAGATTGTAGAACACCTTGGCATATCCATCGGGACGCGAAGTTCCACAACCAATAACCACAAATCCAGCAACACCCACCAGCTGATCATCGTATATTGCTGGACCACCTGAGTCACCATTGCAAGCACCAGCGCCCGACGGATGGTCTAAGCAAATCAAAGCATCTGACGAGATTAAAATCTTACGGAAACATTGACTTTTGCTAAGCGCCTGCACGGTATTCCATTGCAAAATAATGGGCAAGGTATCACCATTATTCTCGGTCAGACCCCAGCCTGAAATAGTAACCACAGAGCCAGCAGGCACTTCAGCAGTAGGCAAAGCAATAGGTTGAATTTTTTCCGAGAAACTCAAGTGCTCCTCCAATTCCAGCAAAGCCAAGTCATTTGTGATTGAAGCATAGCCCTCATGCACCACGACGCGCTTGACTTGAACGATGACACCGCCAGCGATACGATTGTGTGTGCCAGCGCGAATGGTGAAATCCTCAGCGGGGTAACTGCGGTGAACGAAAGAGAGAATTAAAATGATTTTTAGAAAGTTTAGCATTTTTTTTTTGTACTCACGCTGTTATGCCGGATGACACCACACAATGCGCTGCAGTCAATATGTAGTTTGACTTAATGATGGAACCGCCACAAATGTGTCGATGACTCATACGCAGCGAAATTTGATGGGGGAACTGTGCGGGTACAGCGTCATAGCCACCAACTACACGACCCATAGGATTTGCGGTGGCAGCCGCAAGGATGACTGCAAAAATAGCCAGAAAGTAGTAGCAAGCCATCAGTGAGAATGCGTAAAGGCCGATTGGAAGTAGGAAACAAATTGCGTGGCACTTGATTTCATAATTTTATATTCGAAAGTGAGTTGAGTGGAGTAAAACACGGGAAAATACGTAGTCGTTAGTCGAAAATTATCAATTTAAGTTATAAATTAAACAATAAAACTATGTATACCTTGGATAATAGCTTAATACTTGGTAATCTTATCGGTTTAAGTTTCGATTATCTTAATCAATGCTACTAGCGACACACTTGTGATTGAAAATTTCAATTAGGCTCATAAAATGGTAAGAAAAAATTTCCGCAATGCGAACCATTCTGGTTAGTTCAGTCAAATTAGACCTCAGTACTCAAGACCGCTTTCAGTGAGCAAAGGTTGTGGGCTGCTTAGATTTGTTTTCTTTGGTCTGGCGACCGTAGAGGAAAACTACCCAGTGGGAAAATGTAATGTATTGTAATCGAGAAAATTATCATTAAAACAGCCGATTTCACATTCGAAAATGCATTTTTTCCCCCAGGGTGATGTCCTAAGAAAAGTGGGGATTTATTTTTGCATTACCAGTACTGCAAAAAGGGATTGGTTACTCCAGGTAGGATTGTGTAGGGTAACGCCAAAATGTTTCTGCTTTCGCTGTTACTCTGGTTTCTTCTATTCTGTTAGCTTTACAAAGTCAGGCTAGGAACCTGTACTACTGTAAGTCCGAAAACACAATTGCTTAACGGCACTGTTAGCGAGTCGTATGCGAAAGCATGGAGAGGTGCGATGAGTTGTACAAATTTAGGCGGTGCTTGGAACGAGTCCTGCTCTCTTAAATTGTTCTAGAGAAACGCCGAAGCACATTCTTTAAGTAAGCACGGCGCACAGTGTAAGAGCACCATATCAAATATGGCAAAAAGTACCAATTGTATTTCGGTTTTAGTGTAATTTGTTATCTGTGGTAGTTCTGCTTAGCAATGGAGAAATCTGAAAATCGTATAGATGGGCACGCCCACTACACTAGGGCGCAAAAATTACAAATGTTTTCCGACGGTATTGAAATTCGGTTTGTATCTTAGTTTAAACTACAAAAACATAAATCTGAAAGAGGGTTAAAATCGGCCGACCGACACGACCACCAGTCATATAAAATCCCATTATACGGTGATTAACGGTGTTAATGCTGGTTCCCAAGTAAACGAAATTCTCTACTTTCTCTAAATTGTAACTGTCAACAGTGACGTCGGTGCCAAGGCGCGAATGTTCTGACTGTTTGATGACAGGAGATACACCAGACCCATTCGCGTTGCTTCTTTATCCAACTTGGAAAAGGCAGAACAGACTTCGCGGTTTTTGTTACCGAGGATGTCGATGTCATCGGCATAGGCCAGCAATTGCACGCTGTTGTAGTAATTGGTCCTGAGCGGTTCAGTTCTGCAGCTCTTATTATCTTCTCCAACATCAGATTAAAGAAGTCACATGAAGTCCTTTGCCAAACCCTACTCTAAATTCGAGAAGAATACAATTGGTAAGCTCGCCGTGGAAGAAGGTGTATTCCGATATTTGAAAATAACTACCCCATATGCTATTGTAAGTTTTGCAAAGTAGATGTTATTTATAGATCTATAGTTATGTACGTGGTCGCATCCAACCCCTTTTTTTATAAAAGTTTAGTATCAGAGATTAGAGTTAGATACTTCACATCTCTGGTGCTGTTTCCTACGATGCTATGCAGACTCTGCAGGGTTACATATATTCCTCATGGTCAAAAAGGTTCTTTTTAAGTAGAACGCAAAAAAGGAAGTGTGAGCTGTTTTTTGGTAAATTAAAGCATACAGCCTGCTTTAATGGAAACACATCGAAAACCTTTTGCTTGTGACTCACAGTAAAAAAGTAAAAAATTGTCTCTTCTAATCAATTGATATGACTAAAAGTCAAAATAATTTTTTACATATATACAACTACTAATACTTGAATAATATTGTCTTATCTAAGCCTTAATGAAGTTGAGTCATTTTATTATGCGATTTCTCATAATTGCAAAAAGTAGGTATTTAATTCCCAAAAGTATACAGGGACTTTACAGGAAACTGCTAGGTTGATGAATTAGATAGGCAAGATGACCGTGAGTTCTTCTCTCCGGAGAGTGAAGGCATAGGAGTTATTGTGATAAGCTGTGTACTACTTCTGGATGGGGTCGGCTCAGCGAGCGCTGGGCGAAACCGCGCAACACGCAAAGTAGCAAAGCCCTTCTTGCCGCTGGTCGACAATGAGCGGTCAAAGTAACTTCTGCAGCTGGCTAGGCGCCAACTATCGGTTCTAACAGATGTCCTGACCGGGCATTGTCTATTAGAAATCCATGTGATACGACATAATCTATTGCTGAAACTGTTTGAAGGAAGCCGAGGTCGAATCGTTGCAGCATTTCTTTCTCACCTGCTCTGATTTCGGTAAACTATTTAATGGCGTTTTCGTTTCTACAAAAAATTTTGCCTTTTGATTGCACGGTTCTTAGTGTTGTAATGAAAGGGCAGACACGAAAACGCCATAAATTTTAAACATCTCAGCGCGTATTTCATCAACACTCCACAGGAACTCTCCGGAGTGGAAACCGTTAGCCGTTCAAAATAGCAGTGAGAAGCTTAGAACTTTTGCCGTAAAAAACAGACATCTACATATAATAGAAACAAAAACGTCCGCCCTTGTTTCAGCCAAACATCTTTTATTTCAATATGCACATAATTCTTTATCAACACCCTGCAAACTGCGGACTTCAACTCCTCAAATCCAAAGTTGAATCTGAATCCACTCTGCAAAGTGCGTGACATTCGCAAACACATCTGGATAGCGCGAACCGCATGCACCCACTACAAAGCTGCTGACACCAACCAACCGATTATTGTATACGGCACCATTTCCGGCATCACCAGTACAGCTGCCCTGCTTGAGGCTGTGCGCCAGGCAGAATGTTGTCTCATCATTACCGGCATAACCATTAGAGCACACCTCATCGCTGGCCACTGTGAAAGTGGTCGATTGCATTTTATAGGGCGTAGTACCAGAGGACTGTTCACCCCAGCCGGCTACTGTAATTTCTGCGCCCACTGGTGGCTCCTGATCGGCACTAGTGGCCAAAGCAATTATGGAAAGTTTATCGCTCGCTACAAGCGCACTGCTTAGTGTCAACACAGCAATATCATTACGTATGTATTCATAGGACGGATGCACTGCAATGTCAGCGACATAAACGATTCTGCCGCCAGCAAACTGATTGACGCTGCCAACGCGTACGGAAACGCGACCGCTGGCGACACTGAAAATACAAAGGAATGTAAAATAAAAAAATTTTATTTATATAAAATTAATTACATATTTATTTATTTAAGTAAAAGTCTCTAACTTTCCTTTGGCATTTGTACTTACACTTGGTTGTTATCATCGATGACGCAGTGGGCTGCAGTCAATATCTTCCCTTCACCAACAATGCTGCCCCCACACACATGCGCATTGTCCAAGCGCACCGAAGCGGCGAAAGTGAACTGATCAGAGGCAACATCCTCTCCGCCCAAAATGCGGCCGCTGGAAGGCGACAAGGCGCGGCTGGTGCCAGCGACAGCGAAAGCGATAGCAAGGAGTGCAAAAATTATTGTTGAACGCATTGCGTTTAAGCTGATACTGAAACTAACTGACTAACTGTTGAATTGCGGCAAATTGTATATTCGGAATTGAGTGCGTTTGGGATTGATACGAAAATCGGTTTTGTACTTGTATTGCGATCGTCACAATGTGATCGTTATACATACATAAATAGCTACAGTGAATTGCTGTCGAAAGATTGAAGTGGCGAATTTATGGCCCACTTTTATGGGAGTGGCGGCACGTTCGGACGTTTATACTACACTTTATTATTTTGTTGCGTATGTATGTATGTATGCATGTGTAATAGTTTGTATGCATATACAAGTAAGTACATACATACATACATTTATTGCAGGTTAATTTATTTTCGGAATGCGATTATTTTCACCGACTGACTAATCTTATCGAATATGGTAGCCAAAGGTTGCTGCGTGATAAAGTTTGGGAATTCTAAAAACAACGTTTAAAACGTAAACGGTGTCCATAAATTCTAGTGTCCGACCGAAGTTGGAATTTTGGACGAAGCCGAAGTCGAAACTAATATTAGGTACTATTCAATATTCGGCCGAACACCGAAGCCGAAGCCGAACATTACAATTAGGTTTTACGTTTCAGGTCTCTGATTTTTTATTTCTTCACAAAGTGAGGTGTCATATTAAAAGGCTTGGTCTGCAGATGTGCAATAAGGTTTTACTTCTTTGAAAAGAGTTGCCACCTTTTAAAAAGTTATATACAAATTATGTAAAAAATAAGTCAATTATCACAAAATGGGTATCATTCGAAATGATTTAGAAAAGCTTTGTTTCTTAACTGAACTAACGAGGTTTCCACCTGTTTAAAAAATCAAATTCGATTTGAGTTAAGGGAATTAGGAAAGAGAAATTTTGTGTGTATCACCATATGAATGCCAAACGAAAGGGGTTTCAAAATTTAGTTTATTTATAAACAAATTAAATGAAATATTAAAATATGGATGTCAAATGAAGGAGTAATAAGAAGTCTTTAGTTTGAAAGCAAAGAATATTTTTGAGGCGTTGGAAGACATTTTTTTTATAATTTTTTAATAGGTTAAATGAATTATTAAAATATGGGTACCAATCGAACTGGGTTTGAAAGTTTTCTATTTCGGAACCATATATAGTGGGGTTGCCACATATTTGAAAAGTCAAATTCCACTTAATTCATCAGTTAATTATGAATATATATTGCAATGTCCGACGAAGGGGGGTTAAAGCGGATTAAGCTTGAAAATACTTTTGAAGAGGGCCGCCACCTGTTTGAAAGGTCTAATTCAATTAACTACTACAAAATGTATATGAAATATAAAAATGCCATAATCAAAATAAATAATGTTAAGAATAGTTTGAACTTTTAGAATGTAGGAAGACGAGTGCCACGTGTTTAAAAAGTTACATTCAAAATATTCAATAAGTTGCATGAATTATTAAAAAATTGCTATCGATCGAAATGGGTTTGAAAAGGCTTTATTTCTAACTTTTATTTAGGAGGGTTGCCATGTGTTTATTCAAATACATATGTATCACAATGTCAGACGAAAGAGATGTAAGAAGATTTTAGTTTGAGAATACTTTTTAAAAGAAATTTCAAAAATGAGAGGTCCAATTAAAGACCTTAGCCTGTAGATGTGTGATAAAGTTTTATTTGTTTTTAATCAAGAACTTTTTTCACCGGTGTTTCGAAATTTGATGAAATTAAGAACCTGCACTATGCGAGACTTATCTTTTTTTGACATTCGGACTAACATTTGGAATATTATTTAAGTTTTTGAAATTTAAATTTTGGCGTCTTAACGCCATGCGGGTTCACTAGTTTTTATTATTTTTTAAATAAAAGGAACACAAACATTAATTTTTCACAGCCGCTAAAAATTCTTGGTATTGTGACTGATGCAAATGTAAATGCTTTTTCAAGCTTGTTTGTTTTTTTGACGCTTCACTTCCCTTCCCAGGGAAAGCTCTTTCTGGCACACATTGCAAATCGCAGTTGACTTTTTCTGTTTGAGAAACTTCCAAATAGCGCCCATGTTTCTACAAAGTCACAGCAAAACGCAATTGTATCACTTTTATGATTTTTTTATACCCGAGCGCACTTGTGCACAAGGGTATATTAATTTTGTTCACATAACGGTTGTTTGTAACAGCCAAAACGAATCGAGATAGATATAGACAAATGTATACATAAATGATCAGGATGAAAAAAGAAATCGATTAAGCCATGTCTGTCTGTCCGTCCGTCTGTCCGTCTGTCCGTCTGTCCGTCTGTCCGTGTACACGATAACTCGAGCAAAAATTGAGATATCTCAACGAAATTTGGTATGTAGGTTTCCCTTAACCCAAGGTAGGTTGGTATTGAAAATGGGCGAAATCGGACTTTAACCACGCCCACTTCCCATATAACGGTAATTTCCAGAAATACGAAAACTGCGATATTTTAGTAACTATTGAAGATAATTCACTCAAAATTGATATTTACAATAATTTTCAGACGAAAAATAAGAATATTATAAATTTTTGGAAAATGGGCGTAGCCACGCCCACTTATGGTTACATGTGTATATCTTGGTAACCGCTGCACCAATTTCTTCCAAACTTGGCACAGTTGTTGGCCTTGGCACAGCATACCAAATGGCCGAAAATTTTTAAAATCGGACAATAACCACGCCCACATCCCATATAACGGTAATTTAGAAAAATACGAAATCCTCGATAAATCAGTAAATATTAAAGCTAATTTATTCAAAATTGATGGTTGCAACAATTTTTTACCAAGAAATACGTTTATGATACAATTTTGGAAAATGGGCGTGGCACCGCCCACTTATGATCACATATAAGTATATCGGTAACCGTTCTACCAATTTGTACCAAACTCGGTGTGGTTATTGTGCTGGCCACATATAAGCAAAACGTTGAAAATTATTGAAATCGGGCTAAAATAACGGCCGCTTCTCATATAACGGTAAATTTCAGAAATGCTTGAAACTTCAATATTTCGAAATTGAAGGACGCTAATTTACTCAAAATTGATACACCCCGGCTTACCATCTAGCGGAAGGTTTCGGAAAGGTAAAAAAACATATATTTAATACTTGCGCCGGGTATTTAATGTTCGGCTCCGTCCGAACTTAGACTTTCTTACTTGTTAATGTATAGAGTTCTTACATTGTCAAAAGTGTTATGTAGAGATGCGAAGCAACAACAAAATTTTAACTACTGTCGCAAAATAATGTAACTTCGTGACAAATGCAACACCTTGTTAATTGCCTAACTGTTCGGCATTTTCGGCCAAAGGTCGAAGCCGAAGCCGAGGATAAAAAATCAGGCGAATAGGCCGAATACCGAAACCAGGAAGAACCTTCGATTGGACACTAATAAATACTGTTAAAGTTAAACTTCTTGTGCTCGGTTGGGGGGAAAAGCAAAAATCGATGTGACAAACCAGCGACACGGCCATTGGGCCCTAATTCCAAACTTCAATGAAACGAAAAAAGACAGAAAAAGAGAGAGGATGACGGTAGTGGTTCAACACGATTAAGGTTAAAGTTAGGGCATTAAGAGTAAGATTAAATTTCACATTAAGAATAAAATTAAGATTATGACTTAGATTACGATTAGATTAAAATAGATATTAAGTTTAACATTAAGAATAAGATTAAGATTGAGGTTAAGATTAAAGTTAGGATTAAGATTAAGATTAAGATCTAGATTGAGATTAAGATTTATATCAAAATTAACATAAAAATTAAGATTGATTTAGATTAGTATTAAGCTAGGAATAAGATTAAGAATAAGGCTTAGATTAAGATTAAGATTGAGATTGATTTTGAGATTTAGATTAAGATTGAGATTCAGATTAATATTAAGATTGGAAATAAGATTCAGATCAAAACTAAGTTAAAAATTAAAATTAAGATTAACATCAACATTAAGAGCAAGATTAAAATTAAGATTTATATAAAGATTAAGATCTTTATATAATTGCTCAGTCGTACGACTTAGTTTGGGCGATCTGTAGCAGCTACAGAATTGGATTGTATAGCAAACTAAAGTGCAAGCTACAGTTGCGGTTGATCGCGTTTGTCACAAAAATAAAAAGTGGCAGAAAAGTCGATAGTGAGTCGATAATGTATTCTGTTGAGAAATATTAACCAATTTTTCGTGGAACTGAGATCCGGAAAAGTATAGATATGTAGGTATTATTCATAGTTTTGAAATATACTTCGCGAAAGTAAAAAATAATAGAGGGCGCACCAGTAAAAATGTTCACATTTTCTTCGAGCCCTATTTTCGCAATTTGGCAAACTCCAAATTGATTTTAGACCCATGGTTTCTTTGGCAGACTTTCCTAAAATAACACGTAAAATACTCCTATTTTATACGCGCACTGCCACAAAAATTTACCCGCCCCAATGTACATATACATATCTCAAGGCTGGAATAATTATTAAGGGGTTAGTATAATATTTAGACCTAGCTGAGTCCTAGCTGGGGATATTTAAGCTATCTGTGACTTATTTTCCGACAAATTCCTAATTTCTGTCCAATTTAGTTAACCCTTCGGTTGGCTCTCTTAACTTTGGTTCTATCGCGGTTTACGTACACGTTTAGACAGATCCTTTGAAGTAAGATTTGCAGCATAAAAGCTTTGCAGCCTTTAACTTCATTCCTGGATTAAGGTCATAATTACTTGAAAGATCGGAATTTATATCATTTAGTAAGAGTTAATTTGGAGTATCATTATGACCTACAATCTTTTCGATATGTCTCTATGAAATGTGGAAAATCAAAAGCACACATATGTATGTATATAAACTAGACCAATGTTTTTTTGTTACTATAAGTTAGACTTTCCCCTCATGAATGCCCACTATGGGTGCCAGGAAGAAGCACATCCTTCTAATTGAAGTTATTCCATATTGTCATCATGGTAACTATTGAAAAAGCGTTATACCAAATGCTTGATACGCCTTGTGTGGAGAGATGAATCGATTCCTCTTCTTCTTCCTCAATTCGACATCGAAGGCGCATTGGACGCTGTGATGAGGCCGGTGAAAGCGCTTACTGCAGATTAGTTTAGCCTCAATCATTTTTCAGTACGACGTTTATTGAGTCACGACCATAAAGATCTGACATTTATCCCGTTTAATGCGTAGGTCATTTGTTACGGCTGTAATGTGTTATTCAATACCACTTAGTAGAAAAAAAACGGTGGTTATTATCCGCTTGGTTAATCTGCACTTTCGAGCCGTGTCTAGCCACCTCATCGGCTATTTCGTTCCCTGATATTGATATGTCCAGAAACCCAGCAGAGAGATATTTTAGCGTGACCCAGTGAAGCCCACGATGCGCGACATTTCCCTACCACTTCGACTTAATTACCTTGGCAGCTAATATTTTCAATGCAGGCCTTTCAACGAAAATAATGACGTTCACCGACCGTTCTCATCCGGCATGAGACAAGTCGCCTTATCAGGAGGTCCTTGGCGTATAGACCCGAGCTGACTTCTTTTCCCATCCTTTAGCCACCATTATACCATTATTTACCGACAGTAGGCCGCCTCGCCACTCTTTACTAGTTGGAAAATGTATGGAAATCTTAAAACGTGCGGTAATCAGTTTCGACATCTAAGTCGGGTTTGATTCCTTTACGCCGTCCGCTATTGTAGCTACTATACTCTTCTAATGGAGTTGTGAAGTGCTCGCAAAACAAAAAGTGCATATTTACGTACGTATTTACTTAGTTTCCTAGTACCTAACTGTAATGTGAATAAGCTCTTCATGAACACGTACATACTTATTTTGTGTTAAGGAAATCTAACTCACAGAAAACATATGTATTCGTAAGTAGTATACCATTTTTTTTGTAGTTCTTATCGACACAATTTATTTGTTCGCCTGTTCTATTATACACACATAATTGTCTATTCTGGAAATATTCAAAGACTCTTTTATTATTTCAAATACGCTAGCGCTGGGTCAACATTATTTAAAATCCAATCGCTATAGTAAGCCGTTCTGCAACTCACATCCGGGAATTCAGTGCCACCGGCGCCAAAGAAAAAGCTTGCTACACCCACCAAAGTGTGGTTGAACACCACTCCAGCGCCCTCATCACCCCGACCGATGCCCTGATTGACACCGTGGTTTAAGCACAAAGCTGATTCATAGCCATAACCGGCCTTATATTCGCATTCATGAGAGCTTAACACGCTCAGTGTGGTTTTCTGTAGTCTGTATGGAGAAGCACCTGATAGTTGAAGACCCCAACCGGCCAATAACACATTTATGCCATCTGCCAATGTTTCATTGAGTTCGCTCGTGTCCCAAGCAATCGATGCGATCCTGTCGGTAAAACTTAGCGGTTCTGCCAAGGTAATGATGGCAATGTTGTGCAAGAAATTACCAAAAGATGGATGTATAAGAATTGAACTGGCGCTGACAATTTGACCGCCAGCAAACTGGTTAATGCTGCCAACACGCACCGATACACGCGAAGAAGAAATGCTATTTTTGTCGAATGGGAATAATTTTAATTAAATAGGCAACTAAATATTTTCATATAATTTCGATTTACTCACGGTGTACTGCCCAATTCGGAGACGCCTTGAGCTGAGGTTAAAATGTGGTATTGACTGATAATACTGCCCACAGCCACATGCGCGTTGTCCACACGAACCGAAGCAACCCATGGAAATTCACCGGCTGCGGCATTCTCACCCTCCAGTATGCGTCCCTGTGGTGCGGCAATTGTGCCGCAAACGTGGGAGATTGCCATAATAGTGGCCAAAGCGATGATGCGTGTAACAGCCATGGCGACGAAACTTTAACTGCTCGCTATCGATGGGCTGACTTTTTGAAGAACTTACAAAATTTATAATTTCAACAATACTACGAGTATAAATTGCGTCAACGAACTTGAATTTATGTCCATTTGTCCTTATCAGAATTCCGCAATGGTTAAAACATACTTTGTTGGTAATTTTTTTCGGTAGCGCATAGAGTCCATTTCGCTTGATTAGAAAATGTATTTTTTTTCGATGTCCGCTAGGTGCTTAATTGTACTCGCAAAGTGTCGTGTATAGGCCATAAAAGCATAAAAGGCCGTTATTATAAGCCTTATCGCTTATGGATATTTTTACAATTAGCTATTATGCTTAGACTAAGCTTTATCTGGCCTTCTTAGTAATTTGAACTGACGTGAAAAATATTGTTTAAAGGGTGTAACATTCGTTCTTATATTTTGTTTAATGTTTGTAGTAAAGCCGAATTCGAGTTAAAAATTTGTCATCTGACGGCTTTTTACGTGTTGGTCTAGTCTGGATTTGGGGGATTCAGGAATTGTGGAGACGCTGCCATCTTGAAAATACTTTGCATTAAATTAGTTTATCATTGTAACTACTTATAGAATTCAAATTACCCTTATTCTGCGGTTAACTGGTTCGGTTAGGTAAGGTTGAAGTAGCTGCATACAGTAGAGGAGAGAGGCGCCCTTAGTCCCAGTGGAACCAATGTGGTACTCTTGGAAGAGGCATGTTTAGTTCCCATCTGCTCCGTTATGTTAGTAGACCGCAAAAATTCACGAGTGTAGCGCTTAGGTCCGCCAGACAATAAAATAAGTCATGGTGAAATGTGCACCTTCTAGGCTAAAAGTTCATTATGCCGCTAGTTCAAGGCAGTCACACTTCAAGTGCTTAATGTTTTCAATACCTCTCTCGCCGACGACAGCATCAGCGGCAATCATTGGCTGGCAGTTTCGTTCTACTAGCATGCCTTGCTATTGAGAAGTGGGTAATTAACCACCCAAGGTAGACGACGTCCTAAAATGAGTGAGTCGGATCTTTTTCTTGTCGAAGCTGATTCAAATGGATTCTATCGACCAACTCTTATGTCTTCTCGAAGAAGTGTGATTTAAACCATGGTTTGTAGGTAAATATATAGAAAAATACCCACATTGTGAGAGTAGTTGGCGTCAGATAAGGAGATTCCCATCCTCTCAATTTTGTCTGCCATGCAATTAACTTTATATATTTATGATAAGGACTTGCCTAAGCTTTATCGTCACTATCGTGCAGTCCAGTGACTTGATAGTGGTTCGGATATTATTTAAGGAAAATAGTTACTGAAAGCAAGTTAATAGAAGAGTCGACAAGTCAAATTACATGCTCTTTTATAGCTGCAAGCTCTGCTTGGAAAACGCTGCAGTGATCTGGCAGCCTAAAACAAAAACTCACTGAGAGTGATTGGTTGTAGAGTTGAGTTATGGTTGTTATGGAGTTATATTGACTGGGGACCTAAGAATGTCGTGGTAATAGACAAGCATATTGGTGTGACCGAATCTAGTGTCTTTTCATTTTAGCATTGTATTTCCCAAACACGTCTACAGGCGCAGAGAGTTAGGTAAGATTTCTAGGGCATGCCACTCTTCAAACCTCACCAAGGCTAAGGGTTAGTAAGCGACACATCCACTGATGTACACCAAACATTGAATAAGGTACGACGTCAGATTGTTGTATATACATATTTCGTTGAATTCCGCGCGTCTGTCAAGGCAGCTAAAGCTTTCATTTGCGAGGAGTAGTGATCGAACGGGGTGAGGGTTCGTGAAAGTGGTGATTGTCTCTCGGGGATTGTCGTGTGTGGCTTATCGGCACAACAATCTGTCCAGAGGTTGCGCAATTTGGGTGTAAACCCCATCTGTGAGCTCATAGCGATACTTAGGAGCTGACTATATTTCAAGCGAGTATCTATTCAACTCCGACGAGAAACCAAATCGATCATGTTGTGATAGACGGAAGGCACGCTTCCAGTGTTTTAGACGTACGCACACTCCGAGGCCCAAACATCGACTCGGACCACTATCTTGTTGCAGCCAAGATACGCACCCGCCTATGTGCAGCAAAAAATGTGCGCCCAAATATGCAAGGAAAGCTTAACGTCGAAAAGCTGCAATCACAACAGACAGCCAGCGCTTTCGCTACTCGACTCTCACACCTGCTCTCAGAGAGCACTCTTCAACAAACCGACATATGCGAGCAGTGGAACCACATTTCCCGCTCATTAAGTACCGCCGCCGAAGAAGTAGTCGGATTTCAGCGAGCCCGAAAGAACAACTGGTACGATGAGGAGTGTCAGGAAGCTGCAGAGAAAAAAGATGTCGCCTACAGGGCCACGCTGCGATCGGGCGCAACGCGCGCTATGTGGGACCGCTATAGGGATCTGAAGAGGGAAGCGAGACGTATTTGCCGCAACAAGAAGAGAGAGGCAGAAATACGTGAGTGCGAAGAGCTTGAAATGCTGGCCGACAGGAGGAATGCCCGAAAATTTTACCAGAGAGTTAGGCGACTTACGGAAGGTTTAAAGACCGGGGCGCACTCCTGTAAGAACAATAATGGCGACCTAGTAACTGATGTCCAGAGCGTACTTAAATTATGGAGGGAACACTTTTCCGCCCTACTAAATGGTAGCAGCACGGAAAGTTGTGGAGAAGAAGAACCCGAGCCCGCAGTCGATGATGACGGAGTCGACGTTCCACCGCCTGACTATGACGAGGTACGTATAGCAATAACGCGGCTGAAAAACAACAAAGCCGCTGGAGCTGACAGCCTGCCAGCTGAGCTATTCAAGTACGGCGGCGAGGAGTTGATAAGGTGCATGCATCAACTCTTGTGCAGAATATGGTCAGATGAACGCATGCCCGACGACTGGAATTTAAGTGTGCTCTGCCCAATCCACAAGAAAGGTGACGCCGCCATTCGCGCCAACTACCGCGGGATCAGCCTTCTAAGCATAGGTTACAAGGTCTTATCGAGCGTATTGTGTGAAAGACTGAAGCCCACCGTCAATGAACTGATTGGGCCTTATCAGTGTGGCTTTAGACCTGGCAAATCCACCATAGACCAGGTATTCACAATATGCCAAATCTTGGAAAAGACCCGCGAGAAAAGGATCGACACTCACCACCTATTTGTCGACTTTAAAGCCGCTTTTGACAGCACTAAAAGGAGTTGCCTATACGCCGCTATGTCTGAATTTGGCATCCCCTCAAAACTCATACGGCTGTGTAAAATGACGTTGAGCAATACCACCAGCTCCGTCAGAATTGGAAAAGACCTCTCCGAGCCGTTCGCCACAAAACGGGGTTTCAGACAGGGCGACTCCCTTTCATGTGACTTCTTTAATCTGATGTTGGAGAAGATAATAAGAGCTGCAGAACTGAACCGCTCAGGAACAATTTACTACAAGAGCGTGCAATTGCTGGCTTATGCCGATGACATCGACATCATCGGTAACAAAAACCGCGAAGTCTGTTCTGCCTTTTCCAAGTTGGATAGGGAAGCAAAGCGCATGGGTCTGGTGGTAAACGAGGACAAGACGAAGTATCTCCTGTCATCAAACAAACAGTCAGCACATTCGCGCCTTGGCACCCACGTCACTGTTGACAGTTACAATTTCGAGAAAGTAGAGAATTTCGTTTACTTGGGAACCAGCATTAACACCGATAATAATGTCAGCATTGAAATCCAACGTAGAATCACTCTTGCCAACAAGTGCTACTTTGGACTGAGTAGGCAATTCAGGAGTAAAGTCCTCTCTCGACGTACGAAAACCACGCTCTATAAGTCACTCATCATGCCCGTGCTGGTATATGGCGCAGAAGCATGGACAATGACAACATCCGATGAGGCGGCTCTTGGAGTGTTTGAGAGAAAGATTTTGCGGAAGATTTACGGGCCTTTACGCGTTGGCGACGGCGAGTACCGCAGACGATGGAACGATGAGCTGTATGAGCTTTACAACGATATGGACATAGTGCAGCGAATTAAAATACAGCGGCTCCGCTGGCTTGGTCATGTCGTTCGAATGGACACCGACGCTCCAGCTCTGAAAGTATTCAACTCGGAACCCGCTGGTGGTAGCAGAGGAAGAGGGAGGCCCCCACTGCGATGGAAAGATCAGGTGGAGAAGGACTTGGCTTCACTTGGCGTTTCCAATTGGCGTCAGTTGGCACAGAGGAGAAACGACTGGCGTGCTTTGCTGAACTCGGCCAAAATCGCTTAGGCGGTTACAGCGCCAAAAAAGAAGAAGAAGATCTATTCAACTCCGCTGGCTGGGCCATGTCTTTCGAATGGTCAGAAACGCTCCTGCCCTGAAAGTATTCAACGCGAGTCGCCATGCTAGTAACAGAGGAGGAGGGAGGCCTCCTCTGCGTTGGAAAGACCAAGTGGAGAAGCACTTTGCATTTTCAATTGACGTCAGTTGGCACAGTAGATAAAGGACTGGCGTGCTTGGACTCAGGAAAAGGCGGTTACAGCGCCAATAAAAAAGATCTATTCAGCAGCAATCTAACTATAATTTCTTGCTGAGTCTGGAATTTTGTTTACTTGCATGGAGTATTGAGGCTTTGTAATGTAGATAGTGTTCAGGCGACATCGGAAGATATTCCACTGAGTCATTCGAGGTCCGAATGACCAAGCTGGTGCAGCACAATTTAGAAACACCCGGTTAATTACCTTGTCTTTATGTTGCAGCAAAGTTTATTTGTTTTTTCCCAAGTATCGGCAACCGGCTGTTTAAGCAAGAAGGCCCATTTACTTTCTCAGTTCATAAGTGTAATTATCGGATTCCAATATCGTTAATCGTCGGTAACACTCGCCTTGAAGATATGTATACAAGTTACACCATATATCTTTTAAACTTTGAGATTTGATGTCAAAAAAGTGCTGATGGCTGTCGAACGTTCAAGTAATTTGCCGTCCACCATTTTACTGTCCTCGGCTGAGAGGATGCCTCAACGTACTCAAGTAACGTGAAATAATAAACGAGTCCAACGCTACCAGGAGATTTATCTGTTTAGCTTGATCAACAAACGAAGCAACCTCACGGATGACCTCAAAAGATTA